CTTGAACACCCTCTCGGCCTTTACTTCTGCCAGCAAAGTAGCACACCCTTTAAATACCATAAGCCTCAGCTACTTTCCAGCCACCCCTTCACCTCCTACTTTAGTTTTATGTCTTTCTCTGATCACTTTAGAAACTAAGTCCCTAATCAGAGTGAGCCTCTAGCAGCACATAGTGAATGATGCCTGTTCTCACAAGAGTGGCCTAACTCTTCCTCCATCCTCATATAATATAAACCTTCAAAGACCTGGCATGCATTGCTGCAAAGCTCTTTAAAACTTACATTAAAGAAAAACAAACCTGGATTCTTATCCACTAGAACCTATTCAATTTCTTATTAGTTAGTATAACGAATAGATCATTATACAATTCCTTTCATATCAGGATTTACCAGAGGACAATTGCACATAATTCACAACACAACTGTGAATTGTATGTAATCCCATATAAAAATCATAAATCCCTTGCTTAGGTTGATTTCCTTTATTTGTGTTTGTTTTTTAGGGTGATCTGTAACATGACCAGTAGAGCTGAAAAGCCCAGTGTGCGCCAAGATGAAATTGCCAATAGAAAACTATATGTTTCTATTGCTTCCCTACAGGGTTAGCTCACTTGCTTCCACCACATCAGCACTACTCTTGGTGGCCCCAAGCTGTGTGTTGCCATCTCCAGCCCCACTTCTCAACGGGAACTCATTTCCAGTTCCAAATTCAGGCAGAAAACACACACCACCCCCATGCTGCTTACATCTTTAGGCTTCTGGCCAGTTTCTTCCACAAAAGTTTAAATTTACCAACTCATGTTTTCTTTTTCATTCCCTTACTACAAATTTTGTACTATTATGCTGCTTAACAGAGCAAACTTCTGGCCAGAGAGACATTTTGAGGGACAGGACAGAAAATGACATACAGAAAGACCAGTCTCAGACAATGGCTTCTCCACGAAGAATGCAATGAATGATTCAGTTTTGTTGGTAAAGGGGGAAAAATCATATCTAATCTATGTGAAGTCTGTTGTCTGCAGGCTGTAGCTACCTACAGAAAGGTACGGAATAAATAAAGCATTGTAGGTCTTTATGTATCTTAAGATTAGTGCATTCACTAGTGATTGTTAATGGTCTTTAAAAGTCTGTCCATAAAGTCAAAATTGTTTGAAATACTTATAAGATGTATGAGAAAGAAAAAAAAAAAAACTATATTACTGTGATGTTTCCTCAAATTGATTCCTTTTCACATTTATATAAGGAAATCTTATATAATATACTAATCTGCATACACTTGAACATTAATTTTCTAAGTATGGCATGCTGTTTATGACAACCATCTGCTCAGACTTCACTTCTTTCTGTTAGTCAGTCCACTTAAAATTAACATCCACAGTTTTTGAAAAGGCAATGCAAATGATAAAGTTGTTCATATTTTTGCATTCAATTTACCATGCATTGTAACACTTCTGGTATAGATAATATTTATGAGAAATCAAACAAAATGAAGATACAAATCACAAATGCTCTGCAAGGCTTTCATTTTTCAGACTATGTATGATCTTGTATAATAGAGGCATTATTGCAATTTCGATCAGGCAGCTATCTTACTTCAATGCTTAGCCTGAAAACTAAAAACTTGTAACTGTAAGAGGAAGGATGGTTTTAGGAGCACCTAAAAATAAAATCACTAACTCCATGGTAACATAGAGTGCACCTCAGCTGCATACAACTGCATTTGTTTCAATTTGTTTTTAGAAAGCACTGGGATTTGATAACTACCCAGAATCAGAGGGCTAGAGCACCTCCCCTACAAGGACAGGATGAGGGAGCTGAAGCTCTTCAGACTAGAGAACAGAAGGCTCTAAGGAGACCTTGTAGTGGCCTTCCAGTAGCTGAAGGGGCCTTAAAGAAAGCTGGGCAGGGACTTTTTATAAGGGCATGTAGTGACAGGACAAGGAGAAATGGCTTTAAACTGGAAGATAATAGATTTAGACTAGATGCTAGGAAGAAATTCTTTACTGTGAGATTGGTGAGACACTGGAACAGGTTGCCCAGTGAGGCTGTGGATGCCCCCTCCCTGGAAGCATTCAAGGCCAGGCTGGATGGGGCTCTGAGCAACTTGGTCTAGAGGGAGGTGTTCCTGCCTATAGCAGGGGGTTGGAACTAAATGATTTTGAAGGTCCCTCTCAACCCAAACCATTCTGTGATTCTATGAATCACATAATAATTTTGGCTTGAAAGTATGTGCAGAGCTCAGCTGTTCCAAAATTCTGCTCAAAGCTAGTAAAGCTGGACCAGGGTGTCCATGTCTGTGTCTTATCAGGTTCTGATCACATTCACTGGTCTCAACTCCACAGCCTCATCAGACATCTTCTTCTGGAGTCTGACTACCCTAAGGGAGAAATGTTTTCCATTATATATCAAATTGGAATTTCCCATGCTCTGACACATCGTTCACCTTTATGTTGTCACTGTGCAACTCCAAGAAGAAAGAACTTGCTTTTGGACATCAGCAAGTCCAACTATAACTATCAGAAAATGCCAAGTAGTTGCTATCACAGTATTGCTCCTGTTTCACTGTAGAAATTACCCTGTAGTTTCCACTTAATGATGTAAACATTTTTTGCATAGGACTACCACATCTTTTGAGGTCCAAAAGACAAACCACAGCCCATGTGAAATAAAACTGTCTCTAGCTGAATCATTCTGTCACCAGGAGAAAATCTGCCTGTGCTGCACTCCAGGCTGCTGTGGCTGCCTTGTTGGCAGGACTGGGGATTTCTCATTAGTGCTAACTCATTTATCTCAAACCTCTCAACACTTTGTGGCATAGATGTCTCCCCTTCCACTAATTTACTGTCTGTCTGCAGGCTAATCATTTTATCCATAACTTAGTTTATTCATGAAATCGTAGTGCAGATGTCATTTCACATCTCAGGAGCACTCAGAACAGAAAGGAACTGGTGTTAGCAATGTCTCTGACTGAGGCATTTGGAAAAAGGATGCAAAAATGCAAAATTTTATTTTTACCATAAGTATTAGATTGCATCTCATGAATATGGCTTGAGATTATCTACTGAACAGTAAGACAGTTCAGTTAACTCATCCAGTTATTATCTTGAAAAAGAATCTTCCTAAAATGCCTTTTCTAATCACACCAATCGTTTTAAGTGTTTTAATGCCATGAAGTCCAAGCAAGGGTTACCCAGGCCTAGGTAGTCTATCTGAACAGAACTGAAGGAAATTTTTGTTTATGATTCAATAGATATCACCCTGTTATGCCCAAAAAGTTGTAGTGGTAATTCTCATGGTTTAAAAAGCAAAAAATCAAGATAGTGTATTTTTATTAAATTGGAGTTCTTGCATGGTTTGCTAGAATTGGGAGTGATAATGGTAGTAATACAGCATAAAATTATTCTATGATTCTATGGATGTCCCCTCCCTGGAAGTGCTCAAAGCCAGGCTGGATGGGGCTTTGGGCAAGTAGGAGGTATCTCTGCCCTTGGTAAAGGGTTGGAACTGTATTGTGTAGTAAGGCCCCTTCCAAACCAAACTGTTCTAGGATACTAAGAAAGTTAAAAAAAAATATGAACTGAGCGATGCTTATACAAATCTGATTAAAGGTGTTTGTATCACCAATAATTTTATATCTGATGATAAAGTTTCAAGGGGTTAAAAAACATGGATGCTTAAAGCATTCTGAAAGGAGGTTGTATTAAGAGTTTCCCAAACAAATTTCAATCCCATCTTCTGTCAGTAAATAACTGCTTTGATTTTAGGAATAAAGGGCACCAAACTCCTAACTTCTACTGAAGTAAGCCTGTGACATTCTGCGTGACGTGAAAATGAACATTGCGTAGGTAATCTAAAGTCCCTAAGCAGGGCCCTACTTAGTCTGAATCCAAACTGACAGTGAATATCACTAAAAGATATACTGGTCAAAGCTAATGGGCAAAAAATGAAGTCATTTCGGTTGGAAAGCTGACAAAATTGAAAAAAATACAGATCTGATGGGTTGTAAGCAAGCCTCATAAGAATATTTCCTAACTTTTTATTATTTTCTATTTATATATATTTATATATCTTCACATATTTTTTCAAGGAGCACTAATGAAATCTTAAAGAAAAAAAAAAACACAAAAAAACACTACTTTTATCAAGAAGGGGAAGCTTGGCTTCATATATATAAGCGGAACACTGGAGAAAAATCTTCCACTTTCTTCAACTTTGTCTTCTCTTATGGATACTATGAAGTCACAGAAATGCAAACTCTACCTGTATAGACTGAATAGGCAATCTTTTACTGAAATTGAATGCTCGAGAATTGATTTTCCAAAGCCAGAAGGACATCCCAAAGCATATAACAAACAAATCTATACCCATCTTGACAGTCATAAATGAAGCAGCCCAAGGCAATATTGCAGAAAATTATAATTATTATGAAATATGGCTACAGTTCATTCGTCTCCCCATAAAAGAGCAAGCCTACTTCGGTGGTATGACATTTTAGGAAACCTGAAGTATTGGGCCACTACTCATGTGTATTATTGCCATTTTGTTTTCACTTGTATATTCAAGATCAAGTTGTAGCATACATCTTGAATATTAGTGCTAAACTGCCTTACATCCTGAGATTTCCTTAATGCTGATAGCTCAGAACAAAATCTTGTGAACTTATGAGACATTATATGTGAAATAGATCCCAACTAGAAGATAAAAGAAAAGTATGCTTCCCACAGTAATTCTGTACAGAAAAGCAGAACATACAGAAAATAGTCTGAGATGAATGACAGTATCTGTTTTGTATTTTTGACAAAGATTCTCCAATATGCCTTTGCATTGTTTTCTCTCTTTCTATATCTTGCAGCTGAAAAAAAATTTTTCTTCACTGCCACATATCAAACACATTATTATCAGACAGCATTAAAACTTCAATTAAAGGAACAAGTGCAGTCAAGATAATCACATACTTTTTCTTTTGTTCATTCACATTGATAAGGAAAACTTGTAACTTACCCAACATTTTCTGCATCTTCATCACACTCAGCCCTATATTTGCAAACTCCACATTTTGAGTGTTTTCTCTGAACTTCTGTCCCAGATCCTTCATACTCTAAACAAAACAAGGTACTGTTAGCAGAAAGCATGACTTCTATATTAAGCTCTGTCTTTACCTGCCTAAATTCATTTACCTTCAACTATTTTGTCAACAGTTATCATACACTTACACTAGAGAGCTCCCTCTTTCAAAATCCAGCAATTGGAGGTTGGTAGAACAGTAACAATGACAAGCATCCCAAAAAACACAACTGCTTCATTGATCATCTCTTCCTTCATTGTTTATTTCACTGTATTTATTCTCACTTCACCAGACATGCATGTAATGTAAGTACATTACTTCTCACTTTTTTTCCCCTTTTTATTTCTGATGACAGTCTTAGACTGTACTCATCTCTGATACATGTTGTGGTATATTTTCTAGATTGGTACAAGACTAAAAGAAGAAAGTAATCTTAACAAGAAAATGGGATGAATGCTATGTCCCTGAAAAGTAAAATTAATACCCCAAATATTCTAAAATACAAATGCACGGATCTTACTGTTGACAAAGACATCAAAACTCTTAGTTGAGTAAAAGAAATACAACTACATGGGAATTGTTTCAATACAATATTTTCTTAATATTCTTTATTTTAACAGTGCAGTAATGGAGAGCTTGAAAAGAAGAAAAGGAAACAGAAATCTGCAAAGGGAGTCAAGAACTTTAATATACTCTTGTGTAAGGCTGACTGCACAAGGCTGTTGAAAAGAGATCTAAACAAAGTGATTCCTTTCTCATAGTTTCATATGCTGTAGCAAGGAGAAATCAACCGACCACCAACAATTAAAAACTTGCTATATTCTTTATATTTCAATAGAAAAAAGAAATCCACAACAGTCCTTCCTAATCTTCCTCGATCTCACCTGAAAGGAATCTTTCCCTCTGCTGTGGGCTGTGCCTATATGCACGTGGTTAGTCTCTCTTGACTTCACGTGTGTCTAAAGCATGGCGCTTGTTTTTTAAAGATGACTACATACCCAAAATTTATTACAAAACTACACCACTGTAGGAATTTATGACCACACTTACTAAATTGCAATATAACTAGTTTTCTTTTATTTTACAGTTACTTATTTGTGTTCAGTTTTTAAATTTTATCATATGCCTAGCATGCTACTTTTTGACTGTTCTTCTGTATTGACCATTACTATTAACATTCATTTTATTACTCATTTTATTCCTCAATGAGTTCTCTTCAGAGACGACAGTCTGTTGCAAAGAGAGAGGCTGGCATCCAAGAAAGATGATCAAGATCATGGACTCACTCTAGGGTAATAAAACCTTGCCTGCTTGGGCATATCATTAGCCTGATCAGTTCTGATTTGCACACAGTCCATTTCAAGGCCAAGAGACCACAGAAAAACAATATTTTATAAGGATTCTTTAACATTTAATAATTTCCTAACCTAGATGTGCACTGCCTGGATTTTGTGCCCTCTATTTACTTAGACTTTTGTGAGATGTTGCCTTTGATTGTAGTAGTACATCTCAAAACCACTACTTTATACAAACTTCTTTTTTGAAAAAATAAGCAGATGGATAGATTTTATGTACCAGAAACTGATGATAACTGTCACCAAAAAAAATGTGCCCCCACTTCCCCCCCTTAATTCTATTTTCAGTTGATTCTTCCACTTTCTATTCTATTGATTTGCTTCTGACAGGTGCCAATACGAGAGGCTACAGCTCTCCGGATCATCACATTTATCCTTTCTCAAAATATTTGTACGTTACTTCTCATTGTTTTAATGACAAAAAATAAATATAAAGATATGAGTAGCCCACAGAATTCTTTATCAGTCATTTTTGAAGCTTTTAGGTGCAAACCAGACATATCTGCAGATTACAAAACATCTGCCTTTGACATTTTGTGCTTAGTAACCTTCTGCTGTTCTGCTAGGATTGAAAATATTTCATCATTTCCAATATAAACTATCTGACTTCACTTGAAATACAACCAGAATGCCTTACAGAGCACTTTTGCTGCTCTATTAGCATTTCAGTGTTCATAAACAGTAATCCACAACTACTAGGTAATTGTTTCTACAAGCTATTCAGTGTGAACTTCTCTCCCTCCCTGCTAAAATTGCTTTCTCTATCTTCAATATTTTTTGCTTGTTTTAGAAAGTGTGGTACTCTTTTCCTGATTAAAACATGAAAATCCTAGTACACATAGAGTTACTTATCCGTACTTTATCCTGTTTGCATATGCATGCAAATAAATAATATAAAAAAAATTAAATACATGCAAATCACAATTACCTGCACCTCAGGTGCTGTTAATTTACACCTGTCAGGATGAAATGTAGTGCAGATGAATGCATCTTGATACAACATTTCCAATTAGGCAATGGTCATCTGTAATTTTTAGAAGCTTCTTTCATTATTAGCTGCATGATGAACCAGCAGCATGAAACACTGTGTATAATTTAGATTTAAGTCCTTCAAAAAAATGCAACTTTTCCCATCAACACAGAATATATAATAACTGTCTTTTCAGCCTGAATAGGTAGCAGACACATTCTGTACCCAACTTGTGTGCTGTTAAAATAAGTTCATCCATTAATATTTGAGGGCAATAGTTCCTCTGTTATGAATGAGTGTCTCCAGATTGGCAATGCACCTCTTGACAGATTGCTTCTCCCTTCTCCTTTCTTCTACATATTTGATTGTTCCTAAATAGGTTATAGCCATTAATTTTAATATTCCAATCAATCAAATCTTCCCAGCAGGTTTCAGTGTTTCAGTAATACCAATTAGGTCAAAATATGTTTCTAAACGAGCGATTCAAATTCTTCTTGTTTATTATGCAGGCTTCTAATGTTGATGTATAAATGATTACAAAATTTCTTCTCCTCACTTTCTTTGGTATCTTGATTAATTCTGCTCTTGACATCTTAATTTCATGTTGAGTGAAAGCTCATTTTACCTCTCTTTTCAGCTTCCTTTAGTGTTTTGGGTCAGCACCTCATTAATACTCTGTCCTTCAAAGAAATGAGGCACAAGGATGGGATCTGTGACTCCCAGTTGTCTGACCTGCACTGTCGGCTAACACTTCTCCTTGAGTCATTATTTCCCTGCAGAAGTTGGCCAGCTCCACCTCAGGAGCCTGCAAATGGACAATTGCTCTGGAGGAACTGGCCAGCAGTAAATTGCTTCCCTTGGCAACTCATTTGTGTGTTCCTACAATTGTAATACCTCTGGCTGGAATAAAAAGTATTGATTTGTGTCAAGGTGAAGTTTGGACTGCTCCCAGGCATGGGCAGGAAAGAGAGCTTTGCTGTCATATATTTATCACTGATCACAGTGAAATGGAAGGAGCCCATGGAGAGCTGTGGCTGCTCTATAGCCATGTACCTACACAACAACAAATCCCAGGTCTGGGGAAGATTCCCTGAAAATCAATTCCTACCTGTATTTGGAGTATAGAGATTTTTTTACTGATGTGCAACCTCATGGAAGACAAATAAAATTAAAACGATTTGGGAAAAATAAGAAGGGCCACAGCAAATCCTATTCTGTATCCTTAAGATACCTCCTGAAGTCATATTAATCCCGTTGGCATGCCTAGCACTGAAAATTCCTCTCCTAACTACAGTCCACAGTATCACATGCCATGGGTGGCTCAATAGCACTCAATATTCACTCAACTGTTAGTAACTTAACCTCTCCTCCATTAATTCTTAGGGCAGCGATAATGATGGACTAGTTAAAATGAAGACCATACTCATAATTTAAAACAAGGCTGCAAACTTGCTCTTTTGTCAGTAAGTTTACATTTGAAGCAAGTGAAAAAACTAATTTTAGCCATCCCAAATTTCTGGCAAGCAGTTTTTTGATCAATCTAGACCAAGCTGCTGGCTTACGCAAAAGTATTAGTTGCCAGCTGGATTAGAAGCAAAGCCTAGGTTGGTAGTCCAAGCTACACCTTGCTGTGCAGTACAGACAACATGGTGCAGCTGTAAGTGTTCTCCAGGAAAGACTCCAGCATTTGAAATTCCATTTTTGGCATTGAAAATTTAATAAAACGATGTCTGGACTATTTATCTGTGAGGTGCTTGAAGAGGTTGAGTTTGAAGATGGTATCTTAATTGCAGGCCAGCCATGGCAATGTTTGTCGAGTGATTATTATAATGACAGTGTGTGCAGAACTTGAGGATGTGCAGAAGCAATGACTCAAGGCCACACATTGCAAGACTCCCTGCCACCACTGCCCTTGTTGTGTCTCAGGTATTTTACAAATTTGGCAATGATAACTTCTGTGCATAATGATGCTATGGATAACACTGGGGAAAACTAGCAAGAGCTGGATCATCTCTCACTGCAAGATCCTCTGGGTAGAGAATATAAACACCAATTCACTCCACTGTCTTTCTTCAAATATGGCCAAACTCCATTTTTTTCCAAAGACACAACAGCTTTGGTGTAAGCACTAGAGAAATTATGCACAAGTGGAAGATGATAGAAAATGGAAAGGACAGGAAAATCACTAGATGTCAAAGAAGATGTCCTGCAATTTCATAAAGATGCCAAATGTAGTTCTGTGAGCCCTAGAAGGTCGCATAAGAAGAACCTGCTCTCATTTCTTATCTGTTACCCTGTACAAGAGCCAAGAAGAATCTGTCTTTCTGAGCCCCAGATCCCTGCATCACTGTGAACAAACAGTAGGCCCTTTAAAATCCCTACTAAGGGCAAATTCTCACCGACACAAGACCAGAACATGCAAGCTCTTTGTCTCTGTGTTGTTGAACCTTTGGTGAAATTATAGTAATTCTTGCAAGTTTTAGTTCAGTATTAATTTTACCTACTGAGTATAGTAGGGCCTCAGAAATAAATAGAGCTGTTGGAAGTAACACTGATACTCAGTGACAAACCATGTGATGGAATCAGCACTTACATCTCTCTAAATCACTCCCCATTATAGAAATATGCCTAAAAGACATGATGTTACCTCCTATCCAGGGTGTTAATCACCATCAAGCTCCTGCAGTCATATTAAAATACATTAAAAT